CAAAACAGTCCCTTTGAAGGACCATGAAGTGCACATGACAAGATAGCTTGCCATGCTCGTTTGTACTTAGCGACACCTGCAACATCTTTACCATGTGAGAGATTATTTTCAATGTCTGGCATGTTGTTCAGAAGAAGCGTCTCACTCATCAGAAAATATTAGCCGTGTTGTGTGTTTGAGCAAGACAAAGAAATGAGCTAAGTCATGTGAATTACACTGCTGTTGTAGTTTCTTTTCAGAGCAAAGGAATATTTATGCATTCTGAAAATGTTCTACATGTATGTTATATTGGTTAGATTACTGTAAAAGCCAGTTATTTTAATTTCATGTGATTTATTTATTTTTTTAATATTATTTGAATTAAGTCTGTACTTCATAATGCAATGTGCACTTGATTTTTATGAGTACATCTTTATGTCTGTCCTATGTTTGAGAAACAACTTAAGTTTACAGAGTACTTTGAAGTACTGTTTACTGTTCAGAGCAAAGGAATATTTTCTACATTTTGAAAATATTCTAGATGTATAATGTTATGTTGTTGAGATGACTGTAAAAGCCAGTTATTGTAATTTCATTTGATTTATTTATTATTTTGGAAGTAAATTAATTTTATTTGGAACAAGTCTATATTTCATAACTCGATGTGCACTTTATTTTAACCGTACATCTTTATTTTGTCCTATGTTTGAGAAAAAACTTACGTTTAGAAAGTACTTTGAAGTACTGTTTACTGTTCTGTAGATTTGAACTGTTATACTACAGTTTTGATGGAAGCATAAGACTTAATTTTTACAGTTGTTGAATAATAATTGGCCAGAATTTAAACCAGCATGTTTTTATTCCAGTTTCTTAAAAGTGCTTGAAAAATAATTGAAAAAAACCCTTTTTGTTAAGCATGATTTTTTTCATGTCATTTATTGCAAAATTGCATTTCTAAAATGCCCATATTTACACTTTCAGAAATAAAAAGATAAAATATGCAATTAATCTCGAGTTGACATTAAGCAATTAAAATTTTAAATCATTTGACAGCACTAATATTGCAGTTGATCTTTAATATGAATGTGCTCAGAATGTGCACAATGTCTGACAAACAGACATTTAAAAAGTCCATGATTTGATTGTCCGGTTATTTAAGGTGAAACTGTCCAAACACAAATTGTTTCCAATGGAGAAGAGATGAATCAAGAATTGTGTGTCTGTATAATGACATGGGGGGACATTCTACAGATCATCAAACTCTTATCAGACCAGTATGGAGTGAATTTCAGGTTCTCAGCATTTAAGTCCTTACCTTAAAGGGGTAATAGAATGCAAACCTGAGTTTACATTGTCATAGATGAATAACGATAGTTCAGTGGGTGAAATGGGCGTACAGAGAAGTTCAAACCCCATCGACCCCTACTTTCTCTGCAAATCGCACGATTCTAAACTTCCACCATAAAATGGGCAAATTTAAACGAAGCACAGAATTAACTTCAATTCGGGGATGTTATTTAATTTATTTATTTTTGTCTATCAGAAGATCCCTCAAAGTTTGATGCTCAGCTGTTCATTTGCTCTTAGCCATTTTCAGCCCAACCAATGTTACACATCCTATTCAGAGACCTTAAAGGAATAGTACACCCAAAACATGATTAGCCTTCATTTTCTACTCACCCCCATGCTGAACAACACTCTGGAGTACTTTTTTGATATCTCAAATGCATCTGGAGATCTGGGAGGCTTCTTGCTGTCTGCTGACATTAGTGCGCACTTTCGTCTGGTTTGGTCTGCCGTGGTTTCCGTAGACTCGTGAACGCGCTTTTAGGAAATCCTATACACTACTGTTTATGCTCTAAAAACATTCTAAATGACTTCGTTTCGACTAAATTCTGGATGCTACCCACTCAGGACACTTGGAATACATTGGACGAGCAGTATGGAGGAATATTGACACGTTTTTTGTGGACTTTTATGGACCTTTCTGCCTCGGGCGCTATAGACCTCCATTATTTGAATGTCAGCAGACAGCAAGAAGCCTCCCAGATCTCCAGATGCATTTGAGATATCAAAAAAGTACTCCAGAGTGTTGTACAGCATGGGGGTGAGTAGAAAATGAAGGCTAATCTTGTTTTGGGTGTACTATTCCTTTAATGTTATGCAGATTTTAAAATCCTCCTTCTCACATATAAAGCCTTAAATGGCCACGCTCCATCTTATATCCGAGATATGATTGTTCCTTATGTCCCTAACAGAGCACTTTGCTCTCAATCTTGAGGTTTACTAGTGGTTCCTAGAGTTTCTAAAAGTAGAATGGGAGGCTGCGGCAGATCTTTTAGTTATCAGGCTCCTCTCCTGTGGAACCAACTACCAGTTTTAGTCTGTGAGGCAGACACCCTGTCTACTTTTAAGGCAAGGCTTTAAACTTTCCTTTTTGACAAAGCTTATTATTAGAGGGGCTCAGGTTATGCTGCTAAAGGCTTAGACTGCTGGAGGACATAGGGACACCTTTCCATCATAATGTTTCATTCTTTCTCTATTCTCTTATTCTACAGTATTTGTTAGTTCAATCTCTAACATGATCTCTCTGCTTTTTTCTCAATGTAGTAGCATCATCTGGTCTGTTTCTGTTTGGCTGTGACACCATCCTGGAGAGAAATAGCTGTGCTGCTGCCATCAACACCTTTGTTTATAGATGTTGGAGCTTGGCCTGTTTTTTAGTGTGGTCCTGTTTCTCTGACTGTGACTGTCTGTGCTCTCTTCGTCCTCTGACATGGGAGCTGGCTTGGAGCTCATCTGCCTGGCTGTGTGTTTCATGGACAGGCCCGCCTGTGGAGCTGGATGCCAGTTGCCTTTTGTATCGCTGGTTCTTTCTGTATCTCTGATTCTGTCTCCTTGAATCCCAGTCGGCCTCGGCAGATGGCTGCTCACACTGAGCCTGGTTCTGCTGGAGATTTCTCCAGTTAAAAGGGAGTTTTTCTGCTCCACCGTCGCTACAAGCATGCTTGGTGTGAGGGATTGTTTTCAAGTTAATGGCTGAATTAGAATTCATGGGCTGCGTCCTCCGGAGGCCAGATTCGTTGGCCCATTACATCATAGCGAGGCACCGAGGTCTGTTTGGATTCCAAGACTCCTCGTTATGTGGCTGACAAATGAATCCTTCTTTTTGGACGATTTGAAGGATGGGTCCGGTGTAGCCTACGTAGCCTCGGATATCCCAGGATTCATTGCGAGACCAAGCAAGCCGGCTGCTCCGTACTCAGAGGAAAAAAGTACTTGGCGCCAGACAGTGGTGAATAATGTAAATGCAGTTTAATATAATACAAGTATGCGAATAGTTCTTTCTGAAATAAATGAAAATATATCTTTTAATGGTCATTGAGTCAGATATGTGGCGGTAATGTTTGATTTATCGAAAGGTTTTCATCTGTTACTGTGGATTCTCATATATCTGCAGTGTGGGCACTATAAATCTGATATGATTATTATTTTATAATTGCTGTTTTGCACAATTTACTGATGTATTTTTTGTTGTAGAATATAAGAGATTTTGCAGATATATATATTTTTATGGATACGTTGTTTAGCTTTACTTATATCTTTCTACCCCTTTTATATAATTACATTTGCTTTTATTTGTTCATGCTGCAGGTGGTTGTCACTTTTATTCCTCTCTGTATTCTCATGAATGTAGTCTTTGTTCACTTTACAATAAAAAAACATTAAAAAAAAGTAAAAAGAAAGAGCTTTGAAAAGTTGGATATTCATTCTTTTCCTGCTTTGTGTTTAAACTGTCACGGTTGCTAGGTGACAGACCTGTTTAAATTCATAGCCAAAACTCTTCTGGCCTCCTTATTTTCACAGACTTAAAAGGACCCAATCCAGGTGGACCGTGTCCTTGGAAGATGCAGCCAATGAGATCGAATTCAGCCAATGATTCAATGCAATCACCTGGTTTTCCTTAGATAAAAAACTTTGAAGCAATCTGACTGTATGATATGGTTGAAAATTGTCTCAGTAAAGTACCTTGAGATGACATGTTGTAAATTGGTGCTTTATGAATGAACTGAATCTAATTGAATTATTTGTAAGAACAAAAAAATGAAAAGATACAATACAATTACATATCAAAAAAATCACCAGTTTTTGGGTGAACTTCAGAACATTTTAGAAATGGACCTGGTGACAACACTGGTTGTAGACCCATGCTGAGGAGATGCTTTCTGCTACAGGGACAGGGGAGCTGGTCAGCGAAGGAGAATGGAAGGAAGGTTTAACTTTCAGCAGGGCCATAAAAATAAATATAACTATTCATGAAGCAGCTCTCAGCTTCAAAATGGTTTGTGACCCTTGCTCTGAATATACAAACCTTTTAAAGATATTCACCAAAAAACTTGTGCATGTGTATACAGGAAATGTTAAATTTGAAGCTTTGATTCAGTGAAGGTAAATTATAAACACATCCTTTTGATTGTTGAGCAAAGATTTCAGAATAATGCTATCATTTCAGTTAACAGTGATGCAATACTTTAAATTGGTTTATCAAAAAAAACCAGAAAACTGCACACCCTAAGATTATTAAGGTGTGCAGTAAGATCATGGGTGTTCAACAGAAAAACATGACTGAAATATATGAAGATCAGGTAATCAGGAAGGCTGAGTCCATTTTGGATAATTATACCCATCCCCTACATAACGAATTTCAGTTTCTACCCTCCGGTTCCCCCACCAGTTCGGACCAACAGATACAAACACTCCTTTATTCCCTCTGCTCTTCAGCTGTTAAACTTTACCAGGAAAAGCAAATAGCCACATGTTGCATGCATTCAGGCCTATGCTCTCATTTGCGCATATTTATTTACTTTTTATTATTTTTTACATTTCTGTCTCTTTTATGCTTCTTTTATTTTAATCTGTGATTTGTGAAACTTGAACATGTGTTTTAAAGGTGTACTACTACTGCACAAAATTGCCCATACTGGGACAAATAAAAGCTACTGAAGACTGAAGACAATTCGAGGTTGCAAATGTCACCTTATAGGGTGTCAGATAAAACCCAAATAATTTTTTTTTATTTTTTAAGTAACTGTAGTTTTACTTTCCTATCACATAAAAATGTTCACAATTAACATATTCTTGTTACATTTTGTTTAGTCCAATACATAATGACTTATGGAACTGTATATTTACTGCATATTTAACATGGTGCCCTGTTTACTGGTAAAAGAATAATTGAATTTGACTAATAAAGGTCAAACAAAACTATTAAACCAGAGTAATCATGTGGTGTTTAAAAGAATCCGATTAACACAGTTGCTATAAACTATGAATACTACAAAGTTGCCATTGTTCAAACAAAAGAGCCTTAAGACTGCAAACAACTGATGCAAATGTGACTAACATTAAAGCTGAAATGCATGACTGTGTAACCTCTCTGTCATGGACATCAACTTAGTAATAATCACATGTAACAACGAGAATAAACAAAACCATTTCAAATAGGCCCATATTTTATTTTCTTGTGTGTATATTAATGTCTCTCAGACTTTCTTTTGGAGGAGAGAATCTAAAGAGTGCAGCGGGTCATCGTACTCCTTTTACAGGATCATCACAGAGGTTGTGGTCTTCTTTCCATGTTTCAGTTTTCATCATGGAGCCCGAGCGATCCATAGCCGTTCATCAGTGCCAGTTTCAAATGACTGTTTGGTGTCGGCTCTTCCTTCCTGATGCTGTTTTTGGTATTAAACATTTGGCTGATCTCAAGGAATGTTTTGTTCTTGGTTTCCGGAATGATAAATATGGTGTACAAAGCAACTCCCCAGCAGATCGCGCAGAAGATCAGGTAACAGTATGGACCTGTAGCTTCCTGAAAAGGAACAACACAAAATGTTTCAAATGTGTTATGGAGCTGATTTTAAAAACATAGAAAACTGCTTGTCAGACAAAACATCTCATAACCCTAAACCTAACCCTAACGCCTAACCCTACTTATGAAATGCTTTCAGATTTGTAGTAAATAATTTCACTTGGAAAATTTGATTTTCATCTGATTTTTCCAAAAAATGTTGACTATCATTTTTGGATGATAAAATATTAGTTTTATTTATTGAAATTATGTTTTTTTTAATATATGGTTCAAAAATAAATTCTGACTTTACACCTAATTAACTGCCATTTTCTACATTCTAATGCTCTATCAATTGACATAAATGGAGTGAAATAAGCAATTATTTTGCTCCTCTCCTGAAGGAAAGGGGGAAGAATATCAAAGAGACAGAAAAAGATTAACTAAATGTGAATGGAAACACAAATTAAAAGGACACAAGAATTAAGAGATTAAAAAAATAAAACAAAGGAATACATCTGTAAAACAAGACCTTAGCAGCAATAATGCACAGAGCAGCATAATGACCTGAATATGACAAGACCCACATACTGATAATAAGAGTTTATTAATGGTCAGCACACGTACGCAAATTAAAAACAACAAACACAAGCACCAGTGGATTATAATAATTTCAGGAGGTTTACAAGCTGTAAGCCTCCTGAAATATCATATCCTTTCTCTTGGGTGACTAGTTTAGTTTATATGCAAAAAAAACTATGAAAATGCTTTGCATCTGATTTAGTTTAAGGAAGTTACTGCAGGTGAGTTAACAGTGTAAAACATACAGCAACATACGTACATTAGGTGATGATGCATAGAAAAATGCTGTGATTACAAATTTTTTTAAGCATTAACTTTTATGTTTTCTTACCTATTTCAGCTTTGAACCTTCCCATGACCATCCCAATGGTTTATCTGCTGTATTATTTAATAGTCAAGATGTATTTTCACTAATGTTGTCTAACAAACCTCTGAGATCCCTGCAGAACAACTGGATTTATAACGAGATTACTTTTCACACATGGGGCTGTATTTGGTAATTAGATGACTTCTAAAGATGGTTTCTACGCTTTTTAGCTCTAATTGTAAACTAATGTGCCCCTTTGTGTTAGCCTTCCTTGTAAAATCACAATAAAATACACAGAGGTCTGAGGTCCTAAAAATAAAAAAAATCTGATAATTATTTACTAAGGGGGATGAACAATTTTTAAGGCACTATATTTGAAACTTTAACATTCCCTTCTGGCTACTTAAAAAGTAATCAACTTGAAAGGGAAACGTTTGCACAAATAGAAATTTCACATGTTGATTATGAAGAGCTAAAAATCTTTATAAGAAGAACATAAAATTAGACAACAGAATACAATGGATTCAGTTTCTGACCTCTAGGAAAGGAAAAACGAAGCCAATGAGGAAGTTGGAAAACCAACTGAGGCAGCCTGCTATGGTATAGGCAGCAGGTCGGTGAGACTGCTTGAAGAGCTCTGCTGTGATCAGGTAAGGCACACCGGCTGTAAAGAAACAACACACATGCATTATTTGTGTTATTTCGAAGGCAAAAACTGCAGCATTCTGCTTCACATTCAATAATTTTAAAGACTTTATTCAACCAAGGCTCCTCACATCCCACAAATCAAATTTAATTACCCAACGCTGTTTTAAAATGAACACCTGCAACTTCATTCATCAAGTAGTTTATAATAACCCCCCTATTCAATAGCCTTCATTCAAAATGAATAGATGATGATATAACAAAAGCAAAAGTGCTATTAAGTTACACTTGTTTCCCTACCTGTATTTCATTTATTGTCTGTTAATACTGAGGAATCGTAGAAAGGAGAATGGTTGTCAGTGTCTAGAAGAGGCAGGCGTATCTGCAAAAAGCTTTGCAAGGAATTCTACTAATATAAGTTACATCAGAGGGGTGGCTTTAATCTAAACATTTTTCTTTGTTAGATTGTGCTTTAGCCAAAGCTCTAATGATCATCCTCCAGAATGATGTCCTCATTATCTTTGGCTGCTAACAGCAGACAGAGAGGTTTATTACTGTCAGATGAATAACTATAGGCCATCATTTGTCAACATGTGCTCTACGTTTAGGAACGTCTCATTGTGAGAGCAAGGTTTCATTCGAAGGAAACCGTATTCATCACGGGGAAGCTTGTGAACAATGAGCCATTAAAGGTCTAATTGCTTGAACAGAGATCCTCCTTCTTGTTCTGTGCTATAGATTTTTGCAGCACTGATGAATGACGTTATGTACACCAGATTTGGTCCGATTCATCATCCTCATGGGTCCGCTCGACGTGGTTGTAAACTAACGCCTCGTAATTCTCTTCCCTCGTCTCATCTAAATGGCTACAGTGTGGCAGCACGGATTTCCTAATTTACAAGACTAATGAAATACAATATCTCTTCATGCTGTTGCAGGGGAGGGGGATGAATACTAGGCTTCAGCTTTGCAACCTGCTGTTCCACAAGTTTCCACCAGGAGGGAGTGTCTCCTTAAACACAATGCCTGCATCTGCAGACTAAATGGGTTCAGCTTGACCTTTGAGAAAACAGAGAAAAGAGGGAAGTTTCCTTTTACCTGGACCTATGCAGAAGCCAGCGATGATCCCCACAACACAGCCAACGCTGATATACTTCATGAAGGGCAACTGCGCCTGCCAAGTCACACAATTCACACATTTTCTAATGACTATCCATTTAATTGCACTCAATCATTTTGATTATAGGATACCAAAAACATCATTTGTACCATGTGGTGTTCCTTGACATTCACTTAATATTACACTTAATTACTTTCTTGCTCGTGTTGGTAATGTTTACAGACACAAACAAGGCAAGAAAAGAGGCAGACAGTAGATATCAGAGCTGATAGCAAACTTACAGTGGTTCTAATGTAGCAAACTCTACACAAGTTTTAAGAGACATTTTTATGTAATGTACCTGGAGCAGGACTGAAACTGTGATTCCTACACAACAGAGGCCCATGACGAAGAATCCACCGTAAATAAGAGGTCTTCGGCCCAATCGCTCAATAGTTAAAATCTAAATAAGAAGAAGATTGGATGGTGAATAAATGTAATCAGTGGAATAAAAAGGTACAAAGGCAGAAAGTGTTTGCATTTATAGGATATATCTTCTGTAGATTCATATGTTTTCTTATATGTACCATATTGTGCAAAAGTATTTTACTATTCTTTATTTCTTTCTATTTTACTTCAAATAAATCAGCTGTTAAGGTCGCCTTGATTCATACAGTACATAAGTTTTTTCTGAAGTAAGGTATTCAAAGGATGATCTGTGTCTACCAGTGATATATTTGTTATTCAGTTGCAAAAGCCACTAAAGAAAACAAAAAAAAGAGAACATTTTGCATAGCACATAAAGAAACAGACACTGATATGTCTTGCAGATCCCTTGTCAAATTCATATTAGACATTTCGCCACGATATGTGGCTAGTAATCCAAGGGTGTTTACATTTACGCAGTACATCTATTCAGTTACATTTACTTGAGTAATTAAAAAAAAAAACTTTTACGAGTAGTATAGCGTTGTACTTTTACTTTAATTTGGGTAAATATATGATAATGTATCATTAATCTTACTTGAGAAAAGTTTCTGTCAACTCCATCCATTAACTTAAAGGAGAAGTTCGGTTTTTTACACTTTAAGCCCATTTTCTGTAGTGTCCAGGATGAAATCGAATGAAGGA